CCGTTCAGTAACTCAAAACTTTGGAAAGTATATTATATCTAATTTTCAAAATGGTTTTTCAAAGTGAAGGGTGGATCGTCTTCGGACCAAATTTTTAAAAAAAACAACCCACCTTTTCAAACCACCAAGTATAGATATACTACCAAAAAACAAGTGTATATTTTCTTAAATAGTTTTATTTCCTTTTCCTCATATTTCCGAGGGTAAGGAGTCACATAGAACATAGTCAAGTACGAACCACATTCGAAAGCACAAAGAGTGTATGAACTATGATAGCTCTATTCTCTATATGTCATGTCATAATGGTGTATTTATATTGGCTATGTCGCTTTAAGCATTTGATTGAATTTATAATCAAGTAGCAAGGAGGAAATATGTATAACCACATATCCAACTCCTCCCCCCAAATAAAATTATTTATGAAAATGGACCCTCGAATGGTGATAAAATGGTTAAGAACACTTATCTTGGTTGTGGTGAGGGGCTATAGTCTCGGAGAGCTCCCAATGATACGCGAGATCCTTGCAATTGACTTGTAAAGCTCCCGGATGGACCCCAAAATCTTTGTCAGGGGTCTGATTGCCCCGTTTTCAAACTTCAGGGTCGATTTGGTAATTTTTGAACTTTTGGGGCCGATTTGTAAATTTTTGAAATAATAGGGACCTGATTGCAAAATTTTGAATTTTCTGCAATGGTGTCTTCGGACATAGAGGCGTTCTCGGACTGAAATGGCGTCCTTGGACATGTGAGCGTCCTCGGACACAGAAGCGTCCTCGGACATGGGGGCGTCCTCGGACTGAAATGGTGTCCGTGGACATAGAGGCGTCCTCGGACATGGAGGCGTCCTCGGACTGAAATGGCGTCCTCGGACATGTGGGCGTCCTCGGATATGTGGGCGTCCTCGGACACAGAGGCGTCCTCGGGCATGGGGCCGTCCTCGGACTGAAATGACGTCCGTGGACATAGAGGCGTTCTCGGACATAGAGGCGTACTCGGGCATGGAGGTGTCCTCGGACCTAGAGGCGTCCTCGGACTGAAATGGCGTCCTCAAACATGTGGGCGTCCTCGGACACAGAGGCGTCCTCGGACATAGGGGCGTCCTCAGACTGAAATGGTGTCCGTGGACATAGAGGCGTCCTCGGACATAGAGGCGTCCTCGGACTAAAATGGCATCCCCAGACATGTGGGCGTCCTCGGACATGGAGGCGTCCTCGGACCTAGAGGCGTCCTCGGACTGAAATGGCTTCTTCGGACATGTGGGCGTCCTCGGATATGGGGGAGTCCTCGGACTGAAATGGCGTCCTCGAACATGTGGGCGTCCTCGGACACAAAGGCGTCCTCAGACATGGGGGCGTCCTCGGACTGAAATGGTGTCCGTGGACATAGAGGCGTCCTCGAACCTAGAGGCGTCGTCGGACTGAAATGGCGTCCTCGGACTGAAATGGCGTCCCCGGACATGGGGGCATCCTCGGACTGAAATGGCGTCCTCGGACATGTGGGCGTCCTCAGACATGGAGGTGTCCTCGGACCTAGAGGCGTCCTCGGACTGAAATGGCGTCTTCGGACATGTGGGCGTCCTCGGACTGAAATGGCGTCCTCGGACATGGGGGCGTCCTCGGACTGAAATGGTGTCCGTGGACATAGAGGCGTCCTCAGACATGGGGGCGTCCTCGGACTGAAATGGCGTCCTCGGACATGTGGGCGTCCTCGGACTGAAATGGTGTCCGTGGACATAGAGGCGTCCTCGGACATAGAGGCGTCCTCGGACTGAAATGGCGTCCCCGGACATGTGGGCGTCCTCGGACATAGGGGCGTCCTCGGACTGAAATGGTGTCCGTGGACATAGAGGCGTCCTCGGACCAAGAGGCGTCCTCGGACTGAAATGGCGTCCTCGGACATGTGGGCGTCCTCGGACATGGGGGCGTCCTCAGACTGAAATGCCGTCCTCGGACATATGGGTGTCCTTGGACACAGAGGCGTCCTCGGACATGAGGGCGTCCTCGGACTGAAATGGTGTCCGTGGACATAGAGGCGTCCTCAGACTGAAATGGCGTCCTCGGACATGTGGGCGTCCTCGGACTGAAATGGAAGCCGGACGTGGCTTGTTGCCGAGGCTACCATTTCAAAGCTCAAAACCCTTATTGGTCAGATCCACAGACATCCAGAACTCAAGATTCACCTTCAATCAGGAACGCAAAGCGTTTCCTACAGACGGCGCCATTTGTCGAGGGTGAAATCCGTTAGGACGAGGGTCAACGGTGTCTATGGACCTGAGACCTGCAAGACAAAGGTTAGCACTTTGACGAGCAAGTCAGTCCAAGGAGTGATAGAAATAAAGCATGTGAGCTAGGAAGGGAGTGAAAGTGAGCTTACACTTCACCACCAAAAATGGGGTATATATAGATAGAGAATAAATATTTCAACGATGGGCTTGGGCCATTGTTAGGGCTTTTAACCGGCCCAATAAGTCATAAAGAAATATTTATCGGGCCCATGAATGGTTGTCGGCCCAATTTGAAATTGCACCTCCAACAAGTTCGAACCAAACTTAAACCGGTTGTTAAAAAACATGTCGTATCCTACTAGCTAGGTGCTTGCTTATAAAGTGTATTAATACTTTTTTTTTTTTTTGAATTTATACATACATTTTTTTGATATCTAAGCAACAGTTGAATATGAATTCCTCCGTCTTATCATTGTTTCTTTTCTCTCTTTCCTTGGCTATCAAGCCAAGCTAAATAAAAACCACTTACAAAAGCTTTTATATTTTTACAATAGTATGCGTTTTATATTATTTTTTTTAATAATAATGCAATAATAGTTATATGTTTCTGGATGTTCACACAAAGACCATATAATTCTCGTACGTTATTTATATATATATATATATTCAAGTTCATACATTTATTGAAGAATTATACGACATAAAATCTACAGCCATTACTAACTTCTCTCATTCTTAAAGCTACTTCATAAAAATTTGTCTTCTTGATTTCTGATGATTGTTGAAATTAGTTGGTCATGGCAAAATGAATTATTATATATATTAAAGGAAAGAAAGATAATCGACACGTGTCACTCATTGAGACCATCAAATCTTAATTAACACGTGTCATTTGCTAATTGATTGATCATTGATCAGTTAAAATTTTTTGTAAACAGTTAATAAATTATTTATTACTCCCTCCGTCCCACAAAAATAATCCAATTTAATAAAAAATCTTATCCTAAAAAAATAGTCCAGTTTAACAAAATTTAAAATTCATTAAATTGAAATGACTTAAATATCTAAAAGAGTAGTAGTGGTATGAAAAACAAGATCCACTTCCTTTGATTTTCATTTTTTTTAGTTTTCTCTCATTTTTTTCAAATGATTATATCTTTTAATACATGAATAATTAAAAAATGTGTTACATATCAAATTCATCTACGTAATGAGATCTTTCCATCAAGATCCATTGTCAATATTTTTTGAGATAAAATTTTTGATCAAATTTAAGTTGTAAAATAAATGCATATGTAGTTAACTTTTATAGAAATAACTAGAAGGGACATTAGTGGAAGTTATGTGAATGAAATGAGTTGCACATTTAGTATGTTGACCAAATTAAAAAAGTTATACAATTTCAAACTAGACTATTTTTGTGGGACGGAGGGAGTATAAAAAATTTTTACAGATATTACAAATTCCTGATTGTGAGCTTGAAAATGAATATTTTTAAAAATTGCTGAGAAACTCCCGACTTCAAAAGTCCTTTCATTTACGAGTTTAAACTTTCAACCTATTATCATTTTGGCCCTTAAAGTTCTATTTGTGTGCTATTTAGTTTTCAAGTTTATCGATTTTATATTTTCAAGGACGATTAATTGTGTCTCATATTTTATTAGAACTACATCTAATCCCTAAAGTCCACTTGCTTATAAAAATAGGTCATATGCATCTAGACATAATTTACGCATTTTTTAAATATATTTTGTAAACCAAACATAACATTAGTTAGTGCTGACAATTTTTATTATACAACTTTTGAAAATCTTTGTTGTAATATTTTTTATCAGATCTTACAAATATACCTCTCATAAATAATATCAATACCTCTCATTTTGATTTAAAACTGATTAATCAAAAAAAATTACAGTTTTAAGAAATATTAGTAACTACATTTTTTTAAGAGAATAAGGACGTTATATTTGTAACTACATTATCTAATCAATTCTTTTGAAATATAAATTTTCAACATTGACAAATCCGCGCAAAGTGCAGAACACACACTAGTGTCAATTAAAGTTCTGAATATATGGAAAGCTAATAATTAAAATTAGGAGAAATAAGATTTTAGATAAGGAAACAGAATTGAAAAAATTAATAAATAAATAAAAGGAGGGTGAATTTTTTCATCTCACGCACTTTCTATGCGTGTGTAACGCACATCATCCCTTGGATCACACACTAGCAAAAGCCTTGGCTTTGCATGTGATGTAATCTTTACTTCTTTTTATTTAATAGATATACACTTCAACATTTCAAAGAGAGAGAGAGAGAGAGAGAGAGAGAGAGAGAGGGGAAAAAAAAAAAAAGCTTTCCTCCATTTTTCAAAATTAGGAACCGATTTCAGGCTTGTATTGCAGCCCATGAATCATGGAATGTAACCGATTAAATGAGATCGCGTTACATATGCAACATGGATACCACAATCCAGTATGAAATGTGGACACCATATCAAAGTATATTGTGAGTGACTATATAAAATCCAGTACCAAAACTTTCTTGTTTTATGTCCTCAAAGCTATTGAGTTAAACATAATCTGGATATTATTTTTTAATCTCATGACAACAATTTTATTTTATATACTTTTTGTTAATGAAGTTTAAGTGTACAACAATAACAACAAACTTTTTTTTTTAACTAGGTGAAGTCGGTTGTAGTTGAAAAGAAATTTGAATTTTATAAAAACAAACTGGATTCATGAACTCTGCCACTAAGTTTTTTTTTTTTTTTGTAAAAATTACAATTGGATAATAGTATAATGACAATTCTTTAACCACATGAAACATGTCTTTGCTATTGTCCACATCACTTGAGCTCCACTTTCACCCTATATACATGTACAAATAAAATTTAAAAAAAAAAAAAAAGGCAGTCCTATTTTGATGTTGCACTAAAAGCTCACTTTTTGCTGAAAAACCGACATGGCCTTGTGATCAATTAAAGGTATGTGTCCTGTTAAGTGAACTCTTCTACTGCCTCTCTAGAGTCTCTCAGACTTCAAATATATAAAATCCATTGTGTTTTAGGGAAGATCTTCTAGCACAAACCTGTTAGGTGACTTTTCTCATTCTTTCTCAGCTATTACTACAAGAACATCACCTGTGGACCATTTTCGCCTTTCATGTTTCACTGGGGGGTTGATGATAGCTCTTTCTGTATTCGCTACACGGTATCCAATCACTATTTCTCTTCTATGACGTGCTCGGAGGAGTATTTCATAGAAACTTAATTCTTCACCTTCTTGGATATACAACTCTGCTGCTCTTATCTGCATCTCATTCCCCTGCAAAAGGTAAAGTATCCTTTCATGTCTTAAGATGACAGGCATATGAATAAATTTGCAATCTATTGAACCAATGCATTTTCCTCATTTCCACAGAGGACTGGATTTGTAAAGTCCATATAAGGAGAGACACTGAACTTCCAAAAAATTATTTAATTAAAAGGCAATCAATCTCACTAATCCTGTAGTATTTTGTAGCTTCAACATCACAATACCTAAAACTAGTTATATTTCAACTTTTGGACTGTAAACATTACCCGAAGGTTCTTTTCAGTAATACTTATGATGCTTAAGAAAGTACCTCTTCTGCAAACAGCTCTTCCAGTACATTGTTGATTTGCCGATCCTCTGCAACCATTGCCAGTGCCATGCTGACAAGCTCATTTGATAACACATAGTCGCTAATTTTTGACATGGATAACAAGTTTTTAGTTCTAGGGTCAAGGATTTCACTAATTATGACAGATTTATCTGAAGCCTGTTGCATTTCCCCCATCCAGGAACCTTGGGAGAAGCTACTCCTATGATCTCGAGAAATCATAGCATCCCTATAAGGAAGCCGTTTTGCCTGGACATTGAATGCAAATTTAATAGACATTATTTCCAGACAGAGAAATGCTCATGTTCCATATTTCAGTGATCAATCAGCATGGAAATCCACAGAGGTAGGCTTCACTTCTTAAGAACTACAGATTTCCAGGGACACATGAGAAAGATGGTCGTTAAGTCCAAAAGTTTCTACCATTTCTTTAAAGGAAAGTTTTGTAACTTCAAGCAAAATTTATTCATTATTTGATTTGATCTGCAATGGATAGCAAAGTGCATGATTATAAGAGTTGAGACTAATGTGACTGAAGAAACAATGCAACCCTGAAATCGACCAAATCCAGCATTTGATAATGATATTAATTTCGCAATCACTCACAAGAATATAAGATTAGGCTTTATAATTCGAAACACCATACATACTATATTAATCAAACAGTAGTTTTGATCCAGAACAAAAAAAGGAGGATGTTCAAGGGAAGGAGGATTGACCAGTTCATACCTAGTTGAATAAGAGAGATGAAGTACTTCAAAGTAGATACAAACTTTGAATCATCAGAGAACATAAAAATACACGTGCACTATTTGTGCATGGTGCATGTAAAAAGCTTTCAAATGTAACCTCCTAAACATAGACAATTTCATTGGCATACAGTACTTTGCAAACTTCATCTATCAGAATAAAGTAAAAATGGGATACAAACAAGATTTCAGATGCTCACGAAGAAATATAGGCACATCTTGCAACGAAAAGAGACGAGAAAAACACATTTTATTTAGCTCGTATAAGTATCTGTCTATAGTGAGGGCAAGGAAAGGGCACGGGGCTTTGGAAGCAGATGAAATATAATTTGCACTTTGATTCCCTTAAGAAACACCTGTAAACAGTACAAACAACTAACTAGGCTTTAATTCATTATCGGCCTTTTGATATCCACCACTTTCTTCAACTGAAACACTAATTTAAATGCAAAATCAGGGAATTCATTTGAAACTATGTGTCCTGCTTAAACAAAGTCACATCTTTTCTTCACTAATAACCATTATATGAAACAAGTTGACAGGAGAAAAGTGAACTGGTAGTTTGCATGCTTGGAAATCATCCATTTGGTCTTCTGAAGTTATTAACTAGAGTACTCAACAATCATCAGTTATGGAGAAGAAAGTTGATGAATTGAAAAGACAAAGTACCTGGATATCACGAATGAGAAGTAATGTGGCAAGAGATCTCGAATCAGCCTGGATTGCTGAATCTTCTACCGATTCATCAGCTAGAATTAAGATCTATTTATTCCAGTAAGAGCATTAATTTAGCATAGCCAAATTTCGTTGTTGGCATACCATCATGTGCACTGACACCGTGTGTTATAAAAAAGATGCTAACAGAATTTCCAAAAACAAGTTACTCACAGAATCAAATGACTCTAATGGAAGACTTTCAAGGTGTCGTCGTATAACAGCATTTCCTTCACGGTTCACCAGCTCTATGTTGACCAACCTGTTAATGTCAAGGCCACCATCTATGAGCTTCTTCTCTCTCTCCGTCTCTGGAACTTCATTGAACATCCACAACTCTGATTCAGGTGCTAAAAAGGCATCCAAAACCTAACACAACAAAACAAGAGTTAATTTGATTTTCCAGCAAAAGAATCGTTCCAAAGTCAATTCTTATTAAGAGGAGGTCAAGATGATTAAATTCATTTCTCAAGTTTGATGAACTTGATTTTAATACTCCAGATAAGATGGTGAAGATGAATGGCAGACAGGGTTTGTGCATAGCTACCGCCACAGTGAATGCATAAGGCACTCGTATAGGTACTGGAAACATAAGTAGTGATACCATAATCATATCTTCCATATCCCGCCGCCAACCACAAAACAGTATCCGCTCAGCATGTTTTGGAATATCAGATTCCTTAGGGAGGTATCCTTTTTGAACCTGCAGCATTCAGGTAAAGAGAAACAGGAATTAGGGGCTTTATCGATAGAGCTTACCACAATCATATCATCAATGTCTCGTCTCCATCCACAAAGTAGAATCTTCTGTGGCTTTCTCGCTGGCAGGGCAATATGTGTGGATGTTGCCTTTTTGACCTGAATAACCACATTAACTATGTGTCTGTAAGTTTTGCTTATGGTATGCCCCACTTATTTTCATTCCATGGCAGGAATCACCCTACTTTCAAGAGCAGAAGAGCATTTCTTGTAGAGTGGCCTACCATTGGATGTTATTGTTTGTTAGAAATGGTGGAGTTCTATATTATTATTAGCTAGAAACATGAAGGGAAAAATCTTTGAGGATATCAGAATTTTAGGACCTGGTCTTTTCTTTCTACATAATTTAACTCATTTCCTCGACTAAGGGAGAAAACACTCATTGGTCTTAAAGTGTAAACTCACAAGTCCAGAAACATTCTTATTAAAAAGTCAGAAGACATCCCCAAATTAAAATTGAAATTAGCTTACGTCAGGTCTACAGCCTAAAGGATCTTTCAGAAACCAACATTGCAACTTAAGCTTATGAATTCAAGACAAGTTTATTACAATTTTTTTTTTTTTTGTTTTTTGTAGATAGTTGATTACATTTTTGGTAAACACAGGAAACAGATTTAATTACACTCAGTTTCCAAAAGTTATTTTGCATAGAGAAGGCAAGACCCTTCCTTTATGTAGCAATTAAAGTAAGGAAACAAAAGTATTGTCAATAGAAAGGAGTACTTGAACAATGGAACCATTATCCCTTCTGAAATTCTGTCAAGACTTTCAGTCAAAACAGACAAGTGACTTTTCTACTAGCAACATAACTCACATTTCAGTCCTTCATAATTATGTCCTTTATTTCACGTATCTGTATTTCCCATTTTCAGTTGTTGGTTATAGTCATAAAGTAAACAGCTAGAAGATTTTCAGAAATCAAAATAGAAAATTCATTGGTAATTCTGAAGAAAGGGAAGCACCGTGGGTAACTCTGCGGGAGCATATGTATCATCATCCTCGGCAATCACCAGTACTTCATCTCCTTCTTGTAGCACATAAGAGTCATCTGGATTCAAAATAATTTTTCCCCCATATGATGCTGATTTCACTCCACAGGGGATTGCATCAGGAAAGCTAATCAGTACATCCTCAAATGGCATTCCATCCAACTGGGGCCATCTTTTAATATAGAACTCACAATTTTCAAAGCCAAGGATGTCTTCCCATATCTGTTGGGCCAAATTCATGAAATACCATTCAGTCATCTACATGAACACAGATTGAAACAGAGAAATCATAAAGTTTGACCTGAGCAAGGCCTGGCTGGCGAGCACATTGAATCATCAACCGACCAATTACATCATGTGCCACAACAGTTTCAACAAGATCCCCACCAACAAGTTTAACAAGGACTTCATTGTCAAGATCACTCAGTTCGACAACTATGTGTCCCCTCAGTCCTTCTTTGACTCCTGTTAAGCTTAAGACAGTCCTCAGTGCACGAGCATCACTCTACATAGGAAAAGAAGTTAATCACTGGTGACGAATATGTAGTATCAATAGCATCCATTGATTTACATATGAAGCTTACCTGGTCAGCATTTCCATCTTCTGCAAGGACAATTATTGCACGAGCCTTCGAGACAGATACCTGGGTTCAAAATAGTAACATATGATTCAAAAGTAGCTTGAGCAAAATCATCACACAAGAATAGCTAGTTGTAGCGAATATCATATAGAAAGTAAGGCCAACTTTAAAAGATTGGCCACTAGATGGAGATGTAATTATAGATCAGGTAAGGATATTTACCTTTTTTAAGTCAGCTAGAATTAAAGGGCTCCCGCTTCTGCATATAACAGATGTTCCTCTAAAATCAAATTCCATTTTAGCAATGTCAAGTTCCATCTCTTCTTTGTCTCTTTCAGCCATTACAACAACCATTCCTCCACCGAGACTCTCATTTGCTATGGCAAGTTGATTCAGCAAAGAACCCTAAGTACAAAAAAGTAACTTTAGAAGGCATGGTGTTGGTTGATAGCAGAAGGCATGGGAAACAAAGTTACTGCTGGAAACTCGGAAGAACAAAAAACAATGACAGCTGAGCAAAAGATTCACATCCCTTATCACCATATCTACTATTATTATTCTTTTATCTTTTGCAGTAAACCTCTATCAGTCACATGCAAGTGTCACCCCTATAGGGTGACTTAAAACCAAAGCAGAATAGACGTGCTACCACATAATGATTCCTAGTACAAGTTTAAAGATGCTGACACATTGTCTAATAGATAAAATAGACAATGGTTTACAAACTCAGTGAACCAAACTTAAATTTAACAAGGTTTTACAAAGAAGTTTCCTTCCCCATAAAATCAAACGAAAAGAAAAAGCATGATATCAAGCAAACTCCAATGTCAAAAATGACAACTAAACAGGAATTTGAAAAGGATTCCCATTGATCCATAGCCAAAATCTTTGTATAGTTCATATACGCTATTTAAAGATCAGACATTGCAAGTGACCTTATTCAAGTGCTGGACAGGACAAAAGCATATGAAAGTTACGAATTGCAACTATTACTCTCTTCCTATACTATAAAAATATAGTGATCCTATTATCTTCTAGATATTCTAAAGATAGAAGCAATACCAATTTGTCACTCCAACCAAGGATAAGAGTGTGGTTTTGCTCGACCACTTCACTTCTTCCTTTTCTCAGAGAATCAAACTTCTCAGAAATTGCATCTGAAACCAGTCCAAGCATCATGGCAAATATGAGCATCCCACCAAAGCTGATGGAGACCGACACTAACCTAGGGCCAAGGCCTTCAGAATTAGCATGGTTGCCAGAGTCTGCCACATAAGTCCAAGATAGCCATAGGCAGTCTGCTAAGCTATCATCTGTAACCCCGAAAAGCGCTACTCCCCCAAGACAAATCAGTAATAGCGTTGCAACTAATAAGGCGAGCGGCTTAGCATAAGGATGGACAGACAAAAAGAAATCCACCTTGTATTCTAACTGCTTATTTAAAGATACTTCTTCTGTAACACTGTCTGACGATTTTCTTGAATTTGAAAGATAATCGACATACTTGAGAAAAATAAATGGAATTGATAACAATGTCAGTGATGCTACAAGAGCAGTCCTTTTCAAGCTTCTAATAGTAATATTATCAATGTCTTGAGGCGTAGAATCAATAACATCTATGGGATCCAGCAAACTACAAATCCGTAATTGGTTATTGAGCTTGGAAACTTGGTCCTGCCAATAAACAGCAAAGAGGGCCAAAAGGTAAACAATAGAGCTTGAAAATAAATCATGCAAGCATCTCAAGTTAAAAAGTTCCTTTCAGGAAGATATTAAACTATTCTTTAAAATAATTAGAAAGGTAATTTGCTAACTGCAAGCAAATTCTTTACCAGATAATAATTCAGCACATATAATCAGGCAGGACTTAAAATTATTTTGACTGCTTTTAGATGACTTGCAGCCCTACTGGAGCTACGGTAAAATGAAGTCATCATTTGAGGCAAAGTACAAATCATTCAGATTATGAGTTTCACTGTAGCTATTATATTACGGCGGTAACTTTAAATTTTAACCATCAGTTTTAACAGCAGCTATTCTCTAACAGAATTTCACCAGGATAATCTGCTTTTAGGAAGGATGGACATGCATGTTATCATGCCAATCGAAGACTCGAAGAAGATTCCTTTTCAATAAATCAAATAAGTTCCTGGAGATGCGAGCTTTTCATGGAGCATTCAGCTTCTTACCAGTTACAGTTTCAATTACATCAACTGAAACTCGCATAAGTACAAACATAACTCAGTTTCTTACAATCAGGTTGAGCATTATATTCAACGTTAGCGCACTTCAATTTCACCTGGGGGTTTGTTCACAGAATTTTATACCATATCATCTGACCCTACAATTAGCAATCTAAAATCTTCTTACAGCCTTTTTCGTGAGGCATTCAACTTCACATCAATCCCATATCCTTGTAGGCCAGAAACCCGACAGGTACCCTACACTTCATTTCTATGGGTTGTAATGCTACTTTTCCATGGTGGGTGCTCTGAAGCAATAATATAGGCTATGAACCACATGAAGCAAATTTTATCCATCACACAATTCAAAGTTTCAAAAATGTGTTCCTAATTCAAAATACAAACAAAAGGGTTCCCAGCTGGTAGAATATTCATGAATAGAGGACACCCACGGATGAAAAATAAAAGGATTAGTGCAGTTAGAGTCAACATTATTGAGTTTTGCAAATCACAAAACTTCACGTTGTCTCAGGAAGACAGCGTCATAGACAGCCTTACAAACCCATAAATGCCACATATCACAGACACTGATGAGCATTCATGGTTCATCAGTTTAACACACCACTACTGCACACGAAATCTTGACTGCCCTACTCTTTGTTTATTATCACATAACTCGGAATTTATTCTAGTAACTTAGTTATTTACGTAAGAATCTCATCCTTTTATAGAATTTAAACTGTCACTATGAATTGATGGTTTTATTTTCTCCGGGACTTTAAACATTGCCAATAACAGGGCTTCCTTATGTTTCTCAATATGTTATGACTGAAAGCCGAGTCATCTACCAAGATATTGGAAGCCTAACATAGAACAGATGCTAACGGTTAACTCATGCATTAAGATGTATAGTAAGCCAATGTTCATTTTTCTTCAGGCTGAAAATCAGAACACCTCCTGCTTTTCAGAATTGCACAAATGCATACCTACTGATGTAAAATATGTCAAAAGGAATAATCCCCTCTGCTGGGAGGCATTTGAATTATTAATGAAAAAAGTATCAGCACATAAGATTGACCACAAGATATTGCATACGGCTATTTGAAGAACAAAAGATTTAAAATTTTAAACACTCCCTCCATCCCAAAAGAAGTGTTTGTTTTGTAACACAGTTTGAGTTCAATGAACAATACTTTTTTTCTTTTTTTGATGAAATGAAAAATACTTTTTATTTTGGGACAAGGCGGAATTTAGAAAACAATAACAAAGAAAAGAACAAATGCATCCTTGTTGTGACTTGTTAATCAAAGCTAAACAAGCAGCATTCAAGATTCAGAACTACCAACCTGTAACTCAAGAACCTCATTATGTAAGGAAAAATTTCTGTGCACCAAGGAAAATAAGGTCACCAAAACCTGTAAAACAGAGAACACCCAATTGCCACGTCAGCTGACCAAGCTAAATTCAAATATTGGGACCCAACTAGTCCAGCGCGGATTTCACCATATTATTTTTATTTTTAATTTCACCCAGGAAGAATAAGACAGAAGTCAACGGTCGTAAATTCCAAATTCCCCACTTACTGCCATGGTAAATGCCATCTGCCAACGGATGGTCAAAGAAGAAGGGAAGCTGAGCAGACCGCCGGCGAACACCGTCTTCCCTGCCGGCACCGGTTTTGTTTTATTCTTGCTGCTCTCTGAGGCGATATCGCTGCCGGCACTGTCGTTGTACGAACCGGCGGAGACACCGTCGTCGTTCCGGCTCGTCGACGCTTCATTTCCCAATTGATTGTGGTAGCTGAAGTAGGCGGAGCGGCGTCGTACGGCGGGATATTGCTGATGAGCGGTAGTAGTGGCATGATTGTTGATAGTATTAGGGGGAATATTTTGATCGGAGGTGGAGGAGGAGGGAGGCGGAGGGGAGCTCTGGAATGATTGAAACGGCGACGTCGGAGATTTCCGTTTGGGGTAAGGAGAGGAGAAGCGGCGGATGGGAGCTCTGGGGAAGTGTTTTGAGGAGGGAACGAAAGATTGGGAGGGGAAGAACCAGTCGCGGTTGGTGTTAAACGATGGCGTCGACGGCAACTGTGAGTCGTTGAGTGAGGAGGAGCCGTCTAAGGACATGATTGAAATTATATGAAAAGTTGAGGGGTTTGATGAGGGAGGTTTTTATTGTGCAAATGTGGAGACTATTTTCAAACAATTTTTCCTTTCTTAATTTGATAAACGAAACTATGAGGAAAGTAAAGTAATATTTTTGGATTTTTAATTATGAGAAAAATAAATATTGTACCTTTTTTTTTATTCCTATATATAACTAGTGATGTCTAGTCGCGCAATGCGCAACCCTGGCTCAATATATCTGTAGATCTTAGAAATGTTTGTATCTGAAAAAAAAAAATTTGTATTTGGCCCGATATATTTTAGAAATGTTTGAAGAATTTAGAAAAGTGTGATCATAGAAATTTTTGTATTTGGCATAAAATGAAATTTATTTGACCCGGTACGTTTTAGAAATGTTTGAAAATTTTAGAAATATTTCATAAGTGTTACTTCTTAAATATAAATAAACTTGATCAAATATATGTCTTGAAGTAAATGCTAGACAAACTATAAAAGTATCCTAATAAATTTAAATATTAGTAAGATAATTTATTGATGTTTTTCATTGGTTGTGCCAAATCAATACTTAGTTTTGGAGATTTATAATAGCTTTGTAGTAAGCTTCCTCCAAAGGGTATAGGCTTAATTGTTGGAACTATTTCTTTCAAAAGTTTTTGAGTAGTAAAATATCAAAAATATGATTTTGAAACTGGTTAATTGTTGAAACTGGTTAATCACAAATATAAGAATAAAATAATGTAAATTTGCATAGGTTTCAAGTTATAGCAAAAAATAACTCACCTCACCATGGCAAATAAAAAAAAAAAGAAAGTAAAAGATAGCTCATTAAAATTGAGAATACTTTTTTTTTGTAGGTAAAAATGATATATAAAAGGCTTTTCTATAAGTTAGTTAGAAGAAGCGACCTGAACTATTTATATGATGAGGAACTAAAAAAAGTCGAAAAACCAAATCCAAAAAATTATATTCTTGAAAGCCCGAACACAAAAAAAAAACGCGCTTCATTTGTAAATAAAATAAAATAGTAATAATAATAATTGGTCAACTGGGAGTATGGAACAAAATCAAAAGCAATTAAACAAAGAAAAAACGCACTTCACAATTAACCATATACGAAAAAAACCTGAGACTCCATAATTAGAAAAAAAAAAAAAAAGAAAACCACTCGAATTGAATGAAACATAAAAAAGAAATTCAAAAAATCACACTTTGTAACAAAAACCCAATTAATCAATTCATCCAAACAGAACTAAAATCATACAAAAATTCTAGACTAACTAACGATATAAGAAATCACATTATATTACCTGACAACGGCTACGACAGTTGTAACGGATGAATGTATAAAAATAATATTAATAACACAATTCTTGAACGGGTAAAACAAAAAATAATAAAAGCCAAACAAATGATCCGTGGAAATAAAATCATTTAAATTGTAATACCTATAATGGCACCACCACAATGGCCGAAGCAATATCAATGAGAATTTTTTTTTTTCCTTTGTGTTTATATAGAGAGGTAAAGAGAATATTTTTTGAAGTCGAAATTTTATCCGATGTAGTTGATCATCACTAATGAAAAGATTGAACATGCTAATAGGAAAGGAGTATATTTCACCATATATTCTCAATTGATGATTGATGAGGAATTTATTTTTTTTTTAATTGTGGAGAGGGGATTGATTAGGGAGTCGATTTTTGTGGAGATGGGGATGGAGATTTGAGTTTTTTACGAACCCAAATCAATTATATTTTCTTAAATAGTGTAATCACATCCAAATATTTTAATAGTGTAATGATATCATTATCTAATATTTGCAAAAAATATTATTATACACTAATTTGCAAATATTGAATGTGATATCAATTAATCAGTTTAATGGGATTGCGATGTCTTAAGTAGTTTTTGTATAAAAATATTAGATGTCAAAAAAAAATAGTGTAACTTATGGATACTCTATCGAAATGAACTTAATTTTGTTACGACCACTTTATAGTAACTTAATAAAATTAATAGCGGTGATTATGTATGTACCATTTCAGTATTTTTGTTGTAAATTTTAGCTCAATTAATCCACATATAAGAATTGGTTTGGGGTTTATGTATATAAAAAAAAATTGATCCAAGAAGGTTCGGTGAATATTGGCAAATAACCGTAGCAAAAGATTCCGTTAGCTAATACATAAATGAGGGTCGATGATTTGGAAAAAATTTTAGAGCCGTTGTCATGATTTTCTACACCGATTCAAAACTATAATTTCTACATGGAATAATTTCTATACGTGGACTTTTAAACGTGGACTGATTAAAAGTCGATTGGTGGGTGAAATCGTGGAGGTTGAGGGAGGAGGGAGAGAATGACATGAAAAGTTCTCCTATCACATCTTAATAAAAAGTGGAGGTGGATTTAGGCTGCATTTGCTTTATAAGTTTAGGAAACTGATGTGTAAATAAAAATTTATTTTAAAAATATGATGTGGAAATGCCACATGGCAAATGGTGGTGCTTTCTCTTAAGTGTGGTTTTTGTTTCTAATATAGTAAGATTTTGAAGAATCTATATATTTTCTTATGCTTCGTTGCATGTTACAAAAATATACATGAATGTAAGAAAAATTGATGTAAATCCTCAATATGCCTTTTATTAACTATATGAACAAGAATTATTCACATGATCTACTATTTGATACAAATCCCAAAACTCGAAATATTAATGATAGTATTTTCTTTTATCTACTCATTTATGTTATATGAAAGATTAATAATTTATTTTTAATTCCTTAAAAAAATCATTTTGATAAATTGTATAGTCTTCTACGTTGTCTAATCAAACATTTTGTTGTCAATTAGGAATGTAAAAAGATCATTAATCAAAATGTAAAAAAATTTAAAAACTTATGTAGCAATAAATTAGATTAAGATTAAAATTAAAAAAAAAATCAGTGGTGTAGAAATGATTGGATAAAAAAAAAAAACTGATGATTAAAATCACAAGGATTCATGATCCAAGAATCTTATGCTTTATTTCTTGAATTTGAGGATTATTTTTCTTTTCTCAAAGGAAAACATACATATTACACTCAGGAAAATGATTAGTTTCCTAAACAAAATAAATATTGAAATTTAACAATAAGGAGTCATTTACTTTCCAGCCTAGAATTCATCGATAACCAAATACAATAGAACTTTTATAAATTAATACCGTTGGGATCACAAAAATTTATTAATTTATAGAAATATTAAACAATCGACAAATTAATAACCTATTAATTTAAAGAATTTTTATGAGAAAAAAAAAGGACGCTAACTAAATTACTTAATTTGTAATTATTTTTACATTCACATCAATCAAAATTAAAACTCTTTTGAATACTAAAAATCCATACACAGTTCATATCATCTTCGTGGACTAAAAAAAAATATCGATTGTTCATAATTTACTAAATATTTATATTTATTAGTATCAATAGTACCTATTTGGACCTACTCGAAGAAAGATGAGACGCCCTCAAGATTCGAGAGGCACAATCCAAGGATAGGTTAGCCAAGCATTACAACAAGAAGGTCCGCAATACATACTTTGCAGTGGGAGATTTAGTCTTATGGAAAAACCTAGCGAGTCGAGCAAAAGCGCTAGAAAAGTAGCCAAGTAATTGGGAAGGACCTTATCGAGTCATTCAGGTCTCTCAATCTGGGAGTTACCGGTTGCAAACTACTGATGATACAGATAGGATACTACCTCGATGGTAGAACGTTCAGAATTTTTGCAGGTTCTACGTTTAACATCTATCTTTTATGTGCTTATTGCACTTTGTTTGTGGTTATTTGCACTTTTACTATTTTACTCAATATGTAATTCAAACCCGGCTCTTCAGGCAATTATTTAATAAAAGTCATTGCATATTCCTATCATTCACAGTACTCTAGAATAAGCATGTTCATTTAAATGTCGACATACTTTATTGTGACTAGTCACTTAGATGGATATCCTCATTAAGACCGTCCTCGAAGGTGCCGTGTATCAACATGGATACAATTTTTTGGTCAAGCTGCCCGACATTGTTACATCTAACAGTTTATAGTCGGGGAACTCATAACTTGTCTTCTCGATAGAGCTGCGTACTCAACATCCGACCAAACTAAAGCGTTGTATAAATACGATAAGCTGTGTGAACTCGACAGCCACCAAAAATATGTGTTCATCAATGATGAAGGAAAACATACGTTACTCCCCTTGATGAGATTTCAATCGTTTAAACTCTTGGGGTTACTTCATATTCTCATAAAGAACCTTCTTCATATCTTTTGTTAATCTTAGACATCAATCTGTCTCAGATTGTATCATATATCACAACAATTGGTTTTCCTCTCAAATCTCCAACCCAAACTGTTGAATGACTCCGAGGTGTTGTTGGTAACATGCTCAAAATTCAACGATTGGGAGAAGCATGTCATGCCCACGTTTGCTTATCAAGAGCAACCAAATATTTATAGGCCTCCGCATTGATTTTTTTTATGCAATTGATTGCTACATCAAATTCACCCTTAGTGTATGCTTTCGCAGCTACCCAAAATAGTTTTCTAAGCAGCAAACTAGGGAATTTGGCTATGAAGTTAGATAGAATGTGATGGATGCAATATTTGTGTATAACATGTGACACTTTATTTTGAACTACCTCAATTAGTCCCTGCCGTTAATTAACAAAAAACATAAAGTAGAAATGTTCCAATCACTGTAGCTGAAATTTAAAAAACAAAATAATCTCAACAGAAAAGAGCAAAAAATAAAACTAACTGAATTTAAAATGAAAATTAAAGAAACTAAACTAAACCTTAAGTTAAACAATCACAGAAATTGAAGTAATACTAAGGACTAACCTTCTGACTTCAGTCATAAAGGTCCATTTTCTATCCCGGAAATCCATCCATCAAGGTTGATAAAAGCTCCAAGAAAAAATTCTAATTCCCGGTATTCTCACTTTCAACAACTGCGAATGAAATAGGAACTAAACCATTATCTCCATCTATTCCAAGAGCACTAAGTAGAAAACCACCATATGGACCTTTAAGAAAACATCCGTCAAAACCTAAGAAGGTTTTGCACCCTGCCATTAACCCTTTTGCAAGTTGTTTAAAACCTAAAAATGATTTTCAGATATTAGAGATTTCTTGATCAGGGGCCCGACTATAATCTATCTTTGCCACACTCCCTAGATTGTTGGCCTTC